ATGGTTTACTGCAAAGAACCATCCTTTCCCATGTGGCTCAGATAAGACTCACATGGCCGGACACAGACCCTCCAAATGCCTATCTATTCTTGGCCACCTCAGTGCTTAGCTGTACTGTTTGATCTTTGTTGACCAAGGAGAAGAAAATGCTTGTTAACGAAACTTTGGTTAAGCTTCTCTCTATCCCGGACTCCGGACCTTGGCCCACCAGCCTGAGCCCCTGCAGAGCCCTCTGGAAGGGCCCCTCCTGGAAGGGCCGGTCCCAGGGTCTACTATCCAATACGGCACCGGTTCGCCCACTTCCCCACGTCCGGTTCACCGTAGCCTTGCTGATGCCTCTCCACACAAGGAGAAACCCCTCAGCCAACTCCGGAGGCGCTCACAGATTCTGTGGCGAAGGCTCCCTGTTGCAATCTTGACTAAAGACTTCCTGAGTCCGATGTCTCTTTGACATGAACGTTGTAGTCACGTGCATGTAAATGCATGTAAATCTGCGAATGTTTACTCAAAAAACCATATTTCTATTCTATATTTGTCGGGTAGGTTCTTTCTGTTGGCCGAATTGCTTTATTTCTCCAACAACTTCCATAGCGAGCCTTTTGAAATCAGACGGCATTCATACTTGGGATTGCTCTATTTTCTTCTAACATTTCTAGAAAAAGATTTTTTTTAATTTTTATTTTTATATTTAAGACTTATTTTTGGACAGCCTCTCATTTGCAAGGGACGTCAGAACTGCTCTGTTCTCTTCTTGTGTCTCTGTGTAGAAGCTGTGGGACGGTGGAGATATTTTACTTTGTTCGCATCTATACTCTAGATTTATGACGCTAGATTTTGACATCCTTAGAGGCAGTTTGGAAACCGCACACCAACCACGGTACTTTTCACCCGTCAAAGCCCTCGGCTCCCGAGTCCGTTTCCTAAGGCCCGCGTTGCCCTCCCGGCTGCAGCTGGGATCGTGGCCTCAGTTCTGGGCATGCTTCTGTGCTGGGTTCTCTGAGGTTCCTTTTCTTATGAACGTGTGACTTCCAGCTTTCTTTGGACCGTTAGGGCTTAAAAATGACAGCTCAGGAGTGGGAGACAGGCTTATTTTCTGGTTTGTTTTGTAACTGGGTGCTCTAGCTGTGCTAACTAAATTCAGGCTGCTTCCAATTTGCATTTTTATCACTCACGGGAGGTGATAATGCGGAACCACTGAGCAGCCATAGGACGGAGTCAGTTCCGCTGTGTGGCCTTTGATGTGCTGGGTGAAGCCTCCTCAGCGCCTCCAAGACGCAGGCCGCTGCCCCAGGGACCTGGCGAGGAAGCTGTAAGAAAGCTCCTTCCTCCCGGCTTTGTGTAATCACCCTGAGTCGCAGAGGGCACGCGAACAGAAACAATACTTAGAGCCTGATCTGATCACCAGACACAATAAAACGTGCTGAAAAATAAAGGTGCGGCTCACCGGGTGAGGTAGGCTGAGGACATTTTCCTCTCTTTCATCAACAAATATTAATGAACATGCGCTAAGCACCACACGAAGGAAAAGTCCCAAATAAAATAAGCCCTGAGAAAGTCACAAACCAGTGAGCCAGAAGGAAGGGAAGTCACTGATCACAACAGAGCGAGTCAAGTAAGATGAAATACGTACAGAGCACGGTCTAGGGAGAGACACAAACCCAAAGCGTCCGGACAGGGACGAATTCATGACAGGTGCCAATGGTCCTGAGGACATGGGATGTGTCAACCCGTCCAACGAAATAACAAGTGGGGAAGGGTATTCGAGGAAGAAGGAAGAAGATGCCCATGCAGGTATAACACGGGGCACCGAGGGCCACCAAGCAATCAGCATCCCTCCACCCCACGTGCCCAGCCATGTGCTGGACACTGAGCTTTGCATGAGGGACCCGAACCAAGAGGCCATCGAGCCCGCCAGGGGCTCTTGGTCTAGCTGGAGAGAGACATTTTCCTGCCCAGTGGCCGTGTTGGGGAGTCTCAGCCAGCACCTGAGTGTATCAGTTGGCTCTGGCCCTCCTGGGGATGGGCACTGTCACCTATTGTAGTTAAACTGGCATTTTCCTGAAGCTAATGGTGTTGAGCTGGGTTTTGTGTCCTCCTTCCTTGCGGACCGTGAGCTCTGTCTCGGGGCTCTCAACCCTGGCCACACATGGAAACCTCTTTGGGTTCTTGCCTGGGCGGCACCCCCAAGGACTCTTGATTTTACTGTTACAGCTTGAGACACGTGTCCCTGGTATTTATGACAAAGCACCTTGGTGATTTTACCTGCATCTGGGCTGCAGGGCCCTGTTCCTGAGTCTCGTGGCTCCCAAACTTCCAGGGGCACCAGAGTCCCCAGGAAACACAGAGTCTCTGGGAAACACAGAGTTCCCAGAAAACACAAAATCACGGGGAAACACAGAACCACCAGGCCGGCTCGTTAACACACATCGCTGAGGTCCACCCTCTGAGTTTCTGATTCAGTGAGTCTGGGTCAGAGCCCGAGACTCTGTTTTGTTTCTGGGAATTTGCATTTCCAACAAGCTTCCACCGATAGGATTCTGCCCGTTGGTCCTGGGACCAGCCTCTGAGAACTGCTTCAGCCACACTGACCAGCCAGCTTCTCACAGACGCCGAGTTCCCAAACCGACGCAGACTTTCGTAGAAATAAGAGTGGTTGCTAAAGGCTCATCTTGGGGAAGTTTAAGCGAGAGTGCCCTGCAATTTAAGCAGAGCTGGGATGTTAAACATCAGTACAGAGCTACGTAAATAAAACTACTGGGAGGGTGGTTATCATGGCAAAGCAACAACCACCACAACAACATCAGTAAGTGACATTAGGTATCATAGCAAACTAGGGTCTGATATTACCCGGGACCAGTCCAGTTCGATGATCATTCCATAGATATTCGAGAGTTGGCAACACACACACACACACACACACACACACACGTGCCCTCTCATCATTGTTATGAGCCAGTCCCTTAGGAGAGAATATTTAATTTCATGGTTGATAAAACATGAGATCGAGCACCCTCATCAGCATGTATTTTCCAAGTCCCTGGCATTTTACACAGAAAAGGGCACCTGGAAGTGAGAACCTAACGACGGCAACCCTGGGAGAATAAAGCACATGGAGACCCAAGTCCCAGCTAAGTCCCCGACTCATTAAAACTGGCTGTTCAGTAGCACAGGCCCCGGCGACAGGGGACGGGCCTTGAACCCAGAGGGTCACCTTCCTGAGCAAGTGCAGGAAGGACTGCTGGCCGTCCAACGGCCGCAGCCAGCCAACCACAGCGACTGGCGCCGTTAGTGGGGGGGGCCCAGGCACCTTCCTGCAAATCACCGTGTTACCAGGACATCGTGTCCATGTACAGTTCATGTGAAATTGCACAAACACAAGATTCCTTTCACTGTGGAGCATTTGGGAAGGAAAGTCTTCCTTTCGGGACCCTAAATATACCTCGCCTCACGCATAACATTCCCACTGATTCATGCACTGGACGGACACAGGGAAGAAAGAAACTAGCCCTGGGCATTGAACGAACTGCTGAGGTGCTGGCGCCGTTCCCCCCGGGTGTGGACACCGAATGCCTCGTTCCTACCAGCTCGGGACCCCCGTCTTCTTCGAAGTCTTCCTCTACGCCGTCGGTCATCTCCTCCCCGTCTGCGTCGGGCCCTCCTTCCGCAGGCTCCTCGGGAGAGCGGTCTGCGTTCTCGGACACGCACTCCTCCTGGATCAGCTCTATAGTCTCTTCCAGTTGCTTCTTCTGCGCTTCTGGGGTGGGGGGGAAAGCAAATGGCTACTACCTCGGGTCTCTCATGGGCCATTTGGATAAACCTTGAAAAGAAACAGTCTACAGAAGGCAAACCGCACCGGGAGGGGTGTGGGGAAGATAAGGCCCGGTTATATGTCAGTGGACTTTATTCACTCGTGTATATTATGTACATATATCTATTTTATGTGTCCGCCTATTTATTTTTTAATAAAATTAGAAAAAAAACACAGAATCCAGATGGTACCAGGAGATAAAGAAGGTTTACATAAGTAGGTTGATCCTTCTGGCTCTCCAGGGTGGGGCAAAGGTAGGTTTAGTTTACTCTTGTATTGTTATTTATTAATTATCGTATTATTTTCCATAGAACAACTGTAAGCCTACTTTGTAATAAGGATGTTCCCTCTGAGAAGAAAATACACCCCCCAAAAAGGGATGGTGGTGAGCAAAATCGGAAAACCCCCAAACTCGTCCATTCGAGGAAGGAGGGGGAGAGGGCTCACTGACGAGTTCTGACCTGAGTGAAAAAGACAAAAACTCACGAGGGAAAGAGCACCTGGGCAGTGCGTTATCTTTCAGACACCGCGTCTGTGAGGACGATCCCTTGAAATTTGAGTCTAAATGCTGTTGGCAGGCGGGCTTCACCGCCTGGCCGAGACTCGAGTTCTGGGGTGGGTGGCCTGGGTTCGGCACGGAGCCGCCTCCTCTCCCAGCTTTGTGAAGCCGGCAGAGAATGAGACCCCTCCGTGGGCCTCAGGTTCCCCATTCTTACAGTTAGGTCCGCGCTGCGTGACTCCCGGGGTTGGAGTAGCAACTCCAGGTGTCCAGCAGAGTGACCTGCAAACAATATGTGCTCAGCAAATGAAGCGGGGGGGAGAGGGGGTCNTACATAAGTAGGTTGATCCTTCTGGCTCTCCAGGGTGGGGCAAAGGTAGGTTTAGTTTACTCTTGTATTGTTATTTATTAATTATCGTATTATTTTCCATAGAACAACTGTAAGCCTACTTTGTAATAAGGATGTTCCCTCTGAGAAGAAAATACACCCCCCAAAAAGGGATGGTGGTGAGCAAAATCGGAAAACCCCCAAACTCGTCCATTCGAGGAAGGAGGGGGAGAGGGCTCACTGACGAGTTCTGACCTGAGTGAAAAAGACAAAAACTCACGAGGGAAAGAGCACCTGGGCAGTGCGTTATCTTTCAGACACCGCGTCTGTGAGGACGATCCCTTGAAATTTGAGTCTAAATGCTGTTGGCAGGCGGGCTTCACCGCCTGGCCGAGACTCGAGTTCTGGGGTGGGTGGCCTGGGTTCGGCACGGAGCCGCCTCCTCTCCCAGCTTTGTGAAGCCGGCAGAGAATGAGACCCCTCCGTGGGCCTCAGGTTCCCCATTCTTACAGTTAGGTCCGCGCTGCGTGACTCCCGGGGTTGGAGTAGCAACTCCAGGTGTCCAGCAGAGTGACCTGCAAACAATATGTGCTCAGCAAACGAAGCGGGGGGGAGAGGGGGTCCTATAAGGGTTCTAAAGCGGTCGTGGGAAAACGTCACCAGGATTTTTTTCTAAATCTAGAAGATTATCATCTAAGTTGGGGAAGAGGGAGTTAGATTTTTAAAAAATGGTTTAATCTAGAGACGATGACCCCAGAAACTGGATTAAAAAAAGGCAAATTAGGCAAAAGGTATAGATCCAAACATCCTGAATCTAACTGCTATTGATCTACAGCACATTATACTAAGAGAGATGAGTCAGACAGAGAAAGACAAGGACTGGATAATACCACTTACAAGTGGAATCTAAAAGGCCAAACTAGTAAAATCGGAGAGTAAAATGGCAGTTTCCAGGGGCTGGGGGCGGGGGGATAGGACACATGTTTTTAAGGGTAGGAATTTGCAACGAGTAGCAAATAAGCCCTGTAGGCCTAACGTACAGTATAGTTAATATAGAACAACTTTGTTTCACAGTCACTAAACTTGCTAAGAGACTCTTAATTACCTTAATTATTCCAACCACTAAAAAGAAACGCTCTCTGTGCAACCTGATAGAGGAGTTAACTAAAGCTGCAGTGGCCATCATATTACGATGTATAAATGTATCCATCAACACGTCCTACACCTTATTTTACACCATGTGATACGTCAAATATATTTCAACAAAACAACAAACAAACAAAAAACCCCAAACAGGCAAAACTGCTAGGTTTCATTCGTCTCACCTCCCTGCCACATAACGCTCCCTCGACAGTTCTACCCCTTTAAACTTCCATTTACATTTCATGTCCTTTTTGCTTTTAAAGTGTTAATTTATAGAATAAACAGTACATTAGACATGTACTGTATATAAGAAAGGTTAAAACAGGGAATCATTTGGGGGTCTGGAATGGATTAATTCAATTTGAATTATTTCTAATGGGGAAAAATGACTTGGTTTTTGAGCAGCCTTCTGGAGCAAATTAAGTTGGAGAACTGAGGTTCCACTTACATCTGTAGAAAACAGGCCTAATCTGACACACCGAGAATGCTCTGGCTTTCAGTAACGAGAGCATTTTAAATTCAAGAATGAATGAGTCTGGCTCAGCCGGTGTGGCTCAGTGGCTGAGCGTTGACCTGTGAACCAGGAGGTCACAGTTCGATTCCCGTCAGGGCACATGCCCGGGTTGCGGGCTCCATCCCCAGTCGGGGGCCTGCAGGAGGCAGCTGATCGATGAGTCTCATCATTGATGTTTCTCTCTCTCTCTCTTCCTCTCCCTCTAAACAAAATCAATAAAAACATTTTTTTTTTTAAAAAAAGAATGAATTCATCTGTTTAGTTCGGGGCCCTTGCTGGAGCTGAGCCATGCCGTCAAAGCGGAGGGAGTGGGAGTGACAGGTGAGGGCTCTGTGTTGGGGAAGAGCCTCGGGGGCTAACAAGCCTTCAGGCTGAGAATGGATCGTAAACCTCAGTCCTCATGGTTGACTAATCTTTCCTGTGCTTTCCGTTTCCATTTCAAACAGCTAGGCATGACTCAGAAAACAAGTTAGGGTGGCTGGAATTTACGCTCAAAGCATTTTTATTAAATTCAGTTTGCTGCATAGCTATTACCATTAATGTAACTGGAAATTGGTTGAGTTGGCAATTAAGTGTGTGAACGTGCTGGCTGAACGGTGGGCTGCCCTGTACTCAGTGGATGGTTGCAAGGAGCCGGACAAAAACAGGCTGCAAGGGGCATTGGGATGGACTCTGGGAAGCCCCGCC